GCCGGACGAGGGGGGAGCTGGGGTTGCGGCGACGGGAGGGGCGGGCTGGGCGACGCGCGGGAAGCAGCTCGGCAGTCGCCAACGGCCGCAGAGGCAGCACAGCTGACCTCACAATCCAAGAAAGCCGATTGGCTGCGTCTCTACGTGGGGGAGGGTCTGGACCGGAAGCCAGGCCACGTGACCCGGAAGCGGCATCTGCAGGGGCTGGTGCGCCTGCGCACTCCTGCGTGTGCCTTCGGGACGCGCGCGGGCGGTTTCCTCGGCTATTCGGTGGCGCGAAGATAGGGTTCCGCGGCGCCTTTTGTCGACCCCGCCGTGTCGGGTAGGGAAGGTCTGGACCGGGAAGAGCCAAGTTCGAGCTCTAGTAACTCTCCGTGCCCCAAGAGGGTGGGACGGGGAGGCGTGACGGTCGGTGACCATGGTGAGGGGTGACGCATGCTGCAACCCTGGGGAAAACAAGTCAGCTCCGTCGCGGAGCTCGTGCTTGCTTTCAGAGGGCCTTTTGCAATCATTCCGGCTCAAAACTATCCGGAATCCGGCCCCTCCTTCCTATCGTACTGCTACATTCCTAAACACCTTTCACCTCAAGCTGTACAATTAATTGCTCTTCCCTGGGCTTCCCTCGCCCATCAGTGCTGTGGACCCGATGACTTACTGTCGGTTCCCTGCCGGAAAGCCCAGACAGCACCTCATCTTCGCGATTCCCGCTTCCTTCACACGGAGACGCGCCCCCACAGCCGCCTGGATTCCACTTTAGCCTTGCAGACCACTTGCTCTGCCTGGCATTCCCTTCCTCTCAAATGTCCCATCTCCTGTGAAGCCTCAACTTCAAACCCTGTAAGAACGAATCCCCCTTTCACTCACATGCCCATCGGCATCTGTTCAACGCATCTTGAATTTTATTCATTTTCCATCCCAACCTAGTTCACTGCCTGGTATATAACAACTAATAAATTTGAGTTGACTGATAAGGACTATAAAATGATAGATTTGTTTAGAGCCTTAATGCTGAGCATTGTGCCTAACACATAATGGATGTCCATACTTTTTTTTGAATGAAAGAATGGATGAATCATCTAGTCCGACTCATCTTTTACAGATGAGGAAAGAGGAGCCCCACAGGATTAAGTGACCTTGCTAGAACAGACACGGGTTTCTCATGTCGAATGCTATTCATTACCCGTCACCGAGGTCCTTACAAAGGAAGCTGGAAAATTGCTTTTGTGAAGCTATGCCCTTTTTGCAGAGGTTCCAAAACATAGTCGCCAGAATTTTTTAATAGCCCAAAGTGAAAAAGAAATGCTAAGTTTTTCATGAAGCTAAATTTAATCAATTTAGAGAGATTCTTCATTAGGGATTGTGTTCTTTTGCCTGTTAAAATGTCTGTAAAACTAAGACAGTATATAATAGAGATTTGGGGGCATTTTTTAATGCCCTTATTTGGTAAAATAAAAATATATGATACCTCCTCTTTTAAGCACTGCTGTTTTGCTTGGAAATTTTCCTACTAACGTGTATGATTAATGTATACTGGAATATTAAGGAGGTGGTCACTCAAAGCACAGAGCTGGCTTTCTGTAGGTCTTTAGGCCCCCTGCCCAAGTTTCTCTCTGTCCCTGACCAATCACGCCCAAAAGGCTCATGTTAATGTCTCATTTCTCTCTTACTACACAAAACAGATGCCATGCCATGAAAATTCACCCTCTGAATTCAAATGGTGCTTTTATCTTTTTCTGTACAAAACACATATCTTCTTGAGGTTCCTGAGATGACTACCTCCAAATTTAAACTCATCGGTTATGCTCCTAATGTTGGTCTGTTCTGAAAATGAGGAGGGGAGACTCGCTGATGACATATTGGCAGTCTCTGGTGTTCCTAGCCAAGAAAAGGTGGATGTTGGAGGTAGGCAGGGAAAGGAATTATGGGAAAAATAATTAGCAACTGAAAGCAGCTATTACATAATCTTGGCTGCTTATTAATTTAGCAGAAGGAATGGCTTATTAAATTCTAATAGCAACGGCACAAATGCAAACAACCTAGCAATTAACAGTGCAGGGCCCATTATTTTGTTAATATGTTCCCTTTTTTTGGCAAGTGTATAAGAACAAAATTTATAGAAACAGATGGTCTTTTTGAGTAGATTATAGATGGTTTATTTTCCAGTCTTAGTATTAGGTGCTAATTGTGAATTCACTGTGAAAGACAAAAGAAGCTCTGTTACTGTCTTTGTTAGTAATTAACTGCTTGACTTCGATTCCCAGTTTTTAAATTGTGGGCTTTGTTATATGTGTGATTCTTCTCACCTAGTATCTTCATCTGTCATGTTAATAGGATATCTTTTTTTAATCCTCTGCTTTTCTGATCTGGGTGGTCCTGATTTCTTGGTTAATGATGGTATGAACAATTTTTATGAAAAATTAAAAATCCGATTTTTTGGGGGGGATATGGGAAACATTTTTCATGGAACAAGGAGAAGTAGTTTCTTGATACAAGGCTGTCTGATGTTTTCCTTTTTCACTGGCCCAGGAAGATAAAGGAAAATTTGGCAAGGTCAGAAGAGAGAACAGATTTATCCTTAAGTAGCAAAAATAATCTTGTCCCCAGTGTACAGAAGGGGAAGAATTGAAGTATTTCTGGTAACCTGCCTTTTATTTATATTTTTATTGTGACATAATTGACATGAAATGTTAGTTTCAAGTGTACAACGTAATGGTTTGATATTTACATGTATTGCAAAATGACCACAATAAACTTGGTTAACATCACTTGTTTCTTAAATTTAAAAAAAAAGTGCCTAGCTTTCATTTATGTTCAATGCAAGAGGTGAGGGTGAAACGCAGTCTACCTGCTAACAATATTTTGAGACTTTTATGTAATCTTTTAAAAGTTTTCAAAAATAATTTTAATTTCCTGTTAAATGTGTGATGACCATATGCTTTTATCTCCTCTCCCTCTCAAAATGCCATTAAATGAGGAGAAAAAAAGAGGAGTGTTTAAAGTATATATTCACACGGACAATGAGAGAGGACATTAGCATGAGAATGTCAACAAGGATGTCAGCATACACTGTCTGCTCATCATTAAAAACACTGACAATTTAAGTAAAAATCGTAATACGTTTATATGAGAATATGAAGGAGCAGAAGTGAGGGCATGTTGAAATATTGCTAAATCTTCAAGCACAAACAGAAAAAAAACATAATATCTAAGATAAATCAAGAAATAGAATTATTTGTGTATTCTCTCTTAGGTACCAGGAAGTACATTCTAGAAGCAATGATGACTCCTTTTTGAGGGACAGAATCTTGAGGTAGGATGGAATAAAGGTTATTATTACGTTTTATTTTAGTGCAGGTTTTACTTAGCTAATTTTAAAAAAATATTGTAATAAAGTAGATAAAAATCTGTTAGTGCTAACATAGTATTATGAACTCTTCATACAGAGTTCCTTTATTCTATATAAATTATTAA